AGCCCTTGTTCCCCGGGTGGGCCGTCGCCGGAGCCATGGGCACCTTGCAGGGGGGTGCAGGTGGGTGCTCCAGCCCCTGCCTGGGCTCTGCAGCTCTCGCCACCGTCTTGCCGTGCTCGGCAGAGATCAAGAATTGGGTCTGCCCGGCCGCTGACTGCAGACAGACTCCGCTCAAGAGTCCCAGCACCGTAACTGAGTTTTTTTTACACCAGCATGCTCTCAAAATTACAATTTGGAGTTATTTTTTTAAAGGCAGAGGTGCCCTGGTTGGCACTAGGGATCCCTGCGGCTCGCACTGACGCAGCCCCCGAATGGGGGCTTGGGAACGCCCAGCCGTGCCCATCCACGGTGCCTTTTGGGACGATGGCTTTGGGGCCGTGCAGTTGGCAGCCCTGCGGTTCGGCGGTCGCAGACTGCGCTTGGCACCATGCCCTGCTCTGGCATCACTGGATTTGGGGTGACACAGTGACACGTGCGATGTCATCATCTTCCGCTGGAGATGCACAGAGTGAGGGCTTTGCCCCCAGAAGTATTCATGCTCGACATAATTCAGTTATTAATCCTGTCACAATTAACACATCTGTTAGCCTGGGGCGGATGGGACATGGTAATGCCTTTAGCAATGACGTGGTCACGGTCACTGGCAGCTCATCTGCGTAAAATTTGCCATCGTGTGGAATGTTATCAGTGCAAAGCGTTGGAAGTGAGCAAAAAAAAAATAAAATCCAGGTACAAGAGAAGCAGGTTCCTTGCCACACGCTCTTGTGACACCAACAAGATGCTGATTTCGGGAAAAAAACGTTGGGTTGGTCTTTAAGATTCCTGATTTAGCAGCTTTCAAAGAAAAACTACTTAACGGGTAAAAAACCAGGAGTGCGCTGAAGTCAGTGCGTGTAGGAGAGGGCTCCTGGTCTCCTTCCTGGGAGGTGGTCTCCTTCCTGGGAGGTGCTTTCTTCTGATGAAACAGGGGAGTTGGGAAGCAGTGGGGGGAGAAGGACAGGCTTGGCTTGGGCTTGGGAGCAGGACAGGGCGAAGTCAAGAGATGAGACACTGTGTGCTGGTGGAGCGGGGAGGGGAAAAGGCCAGGGGGCGATGCCAGCAGGGGGGTGATGCCAGGGGGCAGAGGCCAGCAACCCCATCCGAGTGTATTTACGGCGTGTTTTCTCGGTGTGCTCCGTAGGTGTGGTACCGCAGCCCATGACAAACGGATCCGCACAGCCCCAGGTGAGGACTCGCCCGCCCCGGGATGCCAGGGTGGCCGGGGATGCTGGGCAGCACCCAGCTTTGCTCGGTTTAGGGGAAGGCGTTGGAGCGATTGGGGGCGTTGGGGGGTGAGGCCAGCTCCTGGTGTGTGGCTGTCCTGGGGTCCCACCGGCGTGGCTTGCCAGCCCGCGCAGCGGGGAGGGATGCCCCTCATGTCCCCGAGGCTCGTTTAGCTCAACTGCTGCTGGCTGAGTTAATTGCTTCCTGCCGCAGCTTTAATTTAGGGGACGAACACAGCTGGTACCAGCCCCATTTCCTCCCGTTCCCAGTGATGGAGGGGAGGCAAGCAGCTGCCCGGTGCTGGCAGGATGGGGCCCATGCTTGGCAGGTGCGGTGGCTGAGGTGTCTGTCCCCACCGGGCTGGAGCTTTTTTTCTGCCAAACTTGACATTTTTTTCTAATTCTGTCTTTGTGCGAACTGGACTAACGTTTTGCTTTCCACTAGCTGAATGGAGGATCCACATCTTCATCTCACAGTGACCTTCAAAGTCCTGGGAAGGAGTCGGAGGTAAAACCCCCAAACATTCCCCCTCCCCTTTACATACCCCTGGAGGTACATATGTGCCTTATGGTCCCGTGTAACGACGCCTTGCAATGCATTTCAGTAAGATGAAAGGACATCTACGAGGGTTTTGGATTTAAAGTGTAATTCTGCTGAGGAGCCACAGGGCAGGAGGTGATGCTGGGGAGCCAGGAGGGCAGGAGGAGTGGAGCTGTGAGGTCTGGGTGCTGCCAGCGGGAGCAAGGCAGGCTCAAATTTTAAAAAGCCGAATTACTTTCAGCTTGGAGCACAGGGAATTTCTCAGGAGCTGCTCAAGGTGGGAGAGCGTGGGTTTGGTGAGCCCAGGGCTGGGGCTGCCTCTCTGGGGGCGCCTGGCTGCACGCAGTGCACAGCCCGCGCGGGGCGAGTGCGTCGAGCCACCAAAAGGAAATGCAAGGCATAGGTGGGTATTCTCTGTGTTATTAGCAGGTTTTTTTTCTTAAAATACTAAGTAGGGCATTTCTAAAGTGCTCAAAAACTTGTCTTTAGGATGAGGCTCTGCTAAAGACAGAGGAATGCCCCCGTGCAGGTGCTTTGGGGGGGTCTCTGCTGGTTCTCGGTGCTTGTGCCATCCCCTGCCCCGCGACGGCTGCGAGTGGGAGCAGGAGTCTG